TTCAATTACACAATCATTAGCATATCTACCATATATAGGTTTCAATTGCACAATCATTAGCATATCTACCATATATAGGTTTCAATTGCACAATCATTAGCATATCTACCATATATAGGTTTCGATTGCAGTCATTAGCATACTTACCATATATAGGTTTCAATTGCACAACCATTAGCATATTTATAATATATAGATTTCAATTGCACACTCATTAGCATATCTACCATATATAGGTTTCAATTACACAATCATTAGCATATCTACCATATATAGGTTTCAATTGTACAATCATTAGCATATCTACCATATATAGATTTCAATTGCACAGTCATTAGCATATCTACCATATATAGGTTTCAATTGCACAGTCATTAGCATATCTACCATATATAGATTTCAATTGCACAATCATTAGCATATCTACCATATATAAATTTCAATTGCACAACCATTAGTATATCTACCATATATAGGTTTCAATTACACAATCATTAGCATATCTACCATATATAGGTTTCAATTGCACAGTCATTAGCATATCTACCATATATAGGTTTCAATTGCACAGTCATTAGCATATCTACCATATATAGGTTTCAATTGCACAACCATTAGCATATCTACCATATATAGATTTCAATTGCACAACCATTAGCATATCTACCATATAAAGGTTTCAATTGCACAGTCATTAGCATATCTACCATATATAGGTTTCAATTGCACACTCATTAGCATATCTACCATATATAGGTTTCAATTACACAATCATTAGCATATTTACCATATATAGGTTTCAATTGCACAGTCATTAGCATATCTACCATATATAGGTTTCAATTGCACAATCATTAGCATATCTACCATATATAGATTTCAATTGCACAGTCATTAGCATATTTACCAAATATAGATTTCAATTGCACAATCATTAGCATATCTACCATATATAGGTTTCAATTGCACAATCATTAGCATATCTACCATATATAGATTTCAATTGCACAGTCATTAGCATATCTACCATATATAGGTTTCAATTGCACAATCATTAGCATATCTACCATATATAGATTTCAATTGCACAACCATTAGCATATCTACCATATATAGGTTTCAATTGCACAATCATTAGCATATCTACCATATATAGGTTTCAATTGCACAATCATTAGCATATCTACCATATATAGGTTTCAATTGCATAATCATTAGCATATCTACATTATACGGATCTATTTGTATAATCATAAATACTAAAACAATAACATGATTTATTGTTGGTGAAAACAAACATCACTCATTACTACAGAATTTAATATGAATATGTCTGATAGATGGAGGGTGCCCTCTGTGGTCACCTACCTGTATTAAAGCAGCGGCTGCAGGAATCTGTCTATTAAAATGTTTTTGTCTTTGTTTTTGTTGTACTTTTAAAGCAAAACCTGATCCCAGAATACCCTGTAAAGTGAAACAAGTCAAAATTGGATTTTTATAGTCATCAAGTAACTATGAAAACACGGCTCTGTCAAACGAAGCAAAAAAAGGTATTGTTATGCATAGAGAATCAAATCCAGGCTAGATACTAACCTGCTTAGAAAAAACATGCCAAAAGACTGATGTCTAATAAAAAAATTAATTTCCTGAAAAGTTTTATCTGAAATTAATTTTATTTTTCAGTGAGTTTTTTGTTCATAATAAACTTTTTTTTTCAAAATCAAAGCTTTGAAGTTATAAAGCTGTTTATATTGTAAAATTCTAAACCAATTATGGAATCTGCTTATTATGATGAAAAATATTGTGTTACACCATTCCTGAAAATGATGTAATATTTTTGTTGATGATCAATCAATTATGAATTTAAGTTTATAGGAAATGGATTGATGACATTATTTATGAAATTAAGTTTTTATCTTAATTGAAGTTTTGATGGTGTCCCTTAACAGTAAGCTATTATTAAGCCCAATGTACAAACTTATACAGGTATCATCAATGTAAATAACTGGCCTATTCAAACACACATAAATTGCTGAGAAAAAATGGAGAAATTCTTAGATACAAAATTAAAATCAAGATGCACTATTGCCTCACTAGTACAGTGGACAAAGTTGTGTACCGTGTGTTTTTAAACACCAGTGAATTGGCAATTATATTGCGCCATAAAATTTATGATTATAAATGAATAATAAAATAATATTTTAGGCCAATATAAATTATACAATAATTAACTTTTTCAAAGAATACACAGATTTCTTCAGCCACAAGCAACAAGGCAAGATCTAAAGTAACATCACTATCACTTTAAAATTATAAATTGCTTTCTACTCACAGCTGGGAGGGCAAAAAATGAGATAGCGAAGACAGAAAAACATGAAGCTATCATTTTTCCTATCCAAGTCTGTGGTACAGTGTCACCATAACCAATTGTTGTGACAGTTATCTGAAAAAGTGAAAGGTCAAGAAGTATATGCTGCCCTCTATAGACATACAACAGTTATTTTTTGTTTTCACGAATGTGAAGAACAATATACTGCCCTCTATAAACACACATCAGTTATCTTTTGTTTTCACATAGTAGCTGAAGTTGTTGAAAAGGAGGAATTTGGTCAATAACTAAATTTGATATTCAACTAAAAGAACATAATTTAAGTATAGTAACAACAGTGAATAAATAGATACAACTAAAATAGAATGTGAAATAAAATAAACATAAATAAATTTAACCTAAACTTACCACACCCCACCATAACGCATCCGCATAACTTTTAAAATCTCCTTTTTCTCCATTTTCATCTAAATGATCTTTTTCAGCCAAATAAACAAAATATGAAGAAAATATAAGCCCTAGGAATCCTATATACAAAGTAGTAATCAGCTCCTGTAAACAGAAAATGAATAAATTAACTTATTGCCCAATATGAAGGTCATTATGTGACAGGACTTATTGCCCCATATGAAGGTCATTATGTGACGTGACTTATTGCCCCATATGAAAGTCATTATGTGACGTGACTTATTGTCCCATATGAAGGTCATTATGTGAAGTGACTTATTGCCCCATATGAAGGTCATTATGTGACAGGACTTATTGCTCAATATGAAGGTCATTATGTGACGTGACTTATTGCCCCATATGAAGGTCATTATGTGACGTGACTTATTGCCCCATATGAAGGTCATTATGTGACGTGACTTATTGCCCCATATGATGAGTATAAATAACATTAAGACACCTAATGACATAGGGCACAAATATGAATGACATTAACAAACATACTGATAAGGGAAACAAATACAAATGTCATTAGAACTTATCGTCCTATATAATAAGTATGAATGACATTAACAAACTTTATAACAAAAACAAATACAAATAGCATTATGAATTTATTGCCCTATATAATTAGTATGAACAACATATAAGTATAGTATAAAGTATAAACTTTATGATAAGGACCACAAATACAAAAGGCATTATGTGACTTATTGCCTGCCCTATATAATAAGTGGGAATGACATTAATTAAAGTAATGACATATGCTACAAATAAGAAGGGCTTTAATAAACCTATTACACAATACCACATACAGTATAAAATGACATTAAACTTAATGATGTATGCCACAAATAAGAAGGGCATTATCTAACTTATTGCCCTATGTAACAAATATGAATGACATTAACAAACTAAACATACATGTCTAATATAAAGAGTAATATCTAACTTAGTATGAATGATATTAGCTAATATAATTACATAGCTACAAATATGAAGGGCATTAATGAACTTATAGCACAATATCATACACTATATAATGAGCATTAACTATAAACTTATTGCCCAATATAACAAGAATTTTATTTGCATATTAAAGCGAGAGGATCGTCACCTGCTCACACTTGTGAATTGAGACCAAGCGATGATAACAACACACAGTAAAAATGCAAAGGCTCATAGGTAGACGATTGTTTGTAAACAATGACACGCTTTGGCCATCTGACACATGCGGAGGTGACGACCCTCCCGCTTTAATATATTTGCAACATTGGCTTCATGATGTTTGCTGACCAACTGCGTAGCTTTTACGAATGAAACAGTACAGCTACTTGTGCAATTGCCAATACTTATTGCACAATACATTACAAGGAAAAAAGAATAAGATTGCGTATTTACCTGTCTGTGAATAAATACTACGGATCCGAGTAAACGCCAAGTACCACCTTGCCGATCTACGTGTAGCATTCTTAAAATCTGTAAAAATCTGACACCCCTGAAAAAAAAAATGAAATTAACATGATTATAATAAATATATCTTCCAACAACCACTACACTACCAGGGATTGATTTTTTTTTTTTTTTAAATGTTTTTGTGCCAGGCGACAGTTATAGACATTGAGCGTCACTGTTGTCTCTCCTGACTTTTTGCTCTTTTGTAAGTGCAAATTGCAAGAGCTAGTGCTGACACATATTATTGTTATATTCATGTTTGGGACTACAGGGCTGTGTGACCATCTCTCTATCAAATGGCAATTTTAATGTGCCATCCTGGCGTCAATCAGACTCAGTCAAACACAAGCACCTGCGGACCTTAACCAAGGTTCCCCCAAAGTCACATTCGTTAGTGAATGAATCTCGGCCAGTAGAATTGGCCTTCCCATTGAGTCTGTGGCCCACTCACCCGGGGTAGGGATTGACCCTTTGATGTTCAGGTAGGATTTGAACTTGGGTCTACCGATCATGAGTCTGATGCAACAACCACTATGCTACCAGTGAACGGTTGATTTTATTTCAGATATAATGAATTTAAAAGTTAGCAAGATTTCTATACAGTCCAGGATTGGTTTTACATGCAGAGGAACTATAAAATAAATAAAACACTAATGAAAAACCTGATGAAATGAAAAGAAGATGATATCGCACATTACCTTATTGCCGATGCAGCAAAAACTTTTCCCTTTGAGCCGACACATAAGACTACGGTTGACGACACAACAACAATTAAATCTACAGGATAAACAATGAATATTTTGCGTTAATAACATAAATCGAATCGACCGTTTAAACACACTACTGTAAATTACTTTATTTTAGCTAGAAGTAATTTTCGCTTAAAAGACATTTTTGGTGCTTTTGTATGGAATTCATTTTCACTGATTATTGACAAGTTGAATGTAAAATATAGGAAAAAGGTATGTTCGCTGGATTTTATTTTCACTGAATTATTCCTTCTGCGAAAATAGCGAAAATTAATTCCAAGCGAAAATAAAGTATTCTACAGTAATTGTCTATTATCTACTGTCCACTTATTTCTAATTATTCCCATATATGGCTGTGTATATTTTCTGGTTGTTAACGTCAAAGCACTAAGATAGCCAAATTTTACGAAAACAAATTTATGCACATGAATCACAGAGCCCAAAAAATGCTATCAAGTGTGTTTTAGAGCAAATAAATGTATCCCTTTCTGCACATTGTGTTTGACGGAAGAATCTTTGCTTTGAAATCTGTCCAGATATACACATAGTGATATAGCATAAAGCGATCAAATGAATGCAAACAACATTATTATGCCATGTCCTTTAACTTTATTGTTGTTCATAATATAACCTGTACTCACCTATTACTGAAATTGGTTTTCTAGCAAAACGAACTCGACCTTTAATACCTACATATTTACCACGGCAACCAGCAGACCAAAGTCGCACAACATATTCAAAACCAAAAAAAAAAACAAGAAAAGTTTCCTGAAAAGAAAAAAAAAACAAATACATAAATATGCAAGATTCTGCCACTAGGTGGCGCAATTTCAAAAGCAGGATTTAGCACAATTCTTGACACTGGCTGACCCAGCAAAAAACTGTCACCCTTTTTTTCAAATCAAATGCATTCAGTATTTAGTATTTACGTGAAATTACAGCAGCAATGTAAACTGGCATAAATATGAACAGATCACTCACCATGTAAAATAAACTGCCATTGGCAAAACTCGTATAGGAATCAATTGTTGATAAGACACTAAAGATGAGGCAAATTAGCACCAGTAGAAAACTAAAAGAAAGACAAAAAAACTAGAAATTAAAAATTAGAATTTAATCATACACCATTAAATTTTTAATAAAATAAATACTGCACACAAGTATCACTGTTTATAAACCTTTCCCCAATGATGAATTACTTTTAGATTTAAATTATGCACAAACATTGAATTTACCAAAAATTAATATTATATCCATTTGTATTCTTCATGGGCAAACACACAAATGCAAAAACAATATTAATTCATGATATTTTGCAATTAATACACACAAATATATAACAAATTGCAAGATTTCTATTCTCGAGACCAAGCATCCAGGCATTTTACTTGTCTGGCAACTACTGGTGAAAACAACGATCAAAATCTCTGTTTTCGGCTAATTGTTAAGACTCTACCATACATGTGCAATGTTTGGCATTGTTTCAAAGTTGAGTTTGTGCTATTTTATTCAACTGTAGCTGTTTAAACCAACTCTTCGACCAGTCTACAACAGCAGCTTGCATAGAGCTCATCGAAAATACGTGATAGAGTGACGTGGACATGATTCTGTGGTGCAACGCCGCTTTCAAGAAAGCATTAAACACTACTTTGATGGCCATTTTGGATTGGAAAATGGGCAAAATGAATAAAATGTATATGTTTCTAATTTAAAAGCTAGTTAAGATACCTCAAGTTTATTCAGAATTTGAAACGGTCAATCATAAAGAATAATCTTAGCTGTTAGTCCCAAAAGTGAGTTGGCCATGACGATCCTTATAATAACACCTGCTAATGCCATTCATACAGGCTTTCCATGGCTATCCATGGACACTTTCAGCAGGCAATGTCTTTTGTTAATAACATATCTACCTTCTTGTATCTTCATCCTTCATTAGGATTTTTGCAATGCGTACTCCAGGATGAGTATTTTTGACTTGACGACAAAGGAATATATGCTTTCGTACGTTTATAGGGTGAGAAACTACACGTGTACCTGAAATGAAATTACCGGTACGCTTACACCTGCCAAGATGTATGGTCTACAGAAAGAGGAGTTGATGATGGATCATTGTTTAAAGTTAACTAGTACGATTTGTAGAGGAATTGCGAAATCCAGCTGTACTGATTGGAAAAGGTCAGAGGTTGACCACTTATAAGTAAAGGTAATAGTTTAAATGCTTTACAGCGTGTCTATCGTTACTGTCTTTAAAAGATATAGTGAGCGTATATATCCCTTGCCTCGCATCTCGCATATTCATTTTTATACTAGTCTCGTTTTTCTTTGCCATCTATTAAATAGATGCCAGATGGCAGAGCAATAAGGGGTATTTACTTTCCATGGCAACAAATACAGGGATTCATACTTTTTCGTCTTCCTCAGTACAAAACTTAAAACACAAGATATTAGTGACATTTCGAGATTATCGGCAACTACGTGTACTTACAGTATACATATGCAACTATAAAGTACAGTAGTCATAATCAATCAAGGCGTTTCGGAGGTCGATTATTATCGCTACATTTTTTTATTCTCGAAATAACCTTATCATCATATCTTCTCATAAATGAGAATATACAGATTGGAAATCCATTATTGACAAGGTTGTAGTTCAAGAGCTCAAAATTGAAAAATATTTTTTGAGCTTTTACAAAATAAATTCACATAATTTTTTTTTTCAAATTTCAAATTATGTATATGTCAGGTTCCTTGTTTCTTTGATGTACCTTCATACCTTCTTTCTACCTTTGTTACCTTCAAAACTTTGTATTTAATTTTTCTGATTTAAGGTTTATCAAAGGTATACTACTAAAAGATATAGGAATGACTAATTTATTACACTTTTTGTTTTGAATGTGTTACATAATTAATAATTCAAGTTTTTCACCAAGTTTGAAATATTTTCGAGAACACTTTCTAAACAAATTTTGAAAAAATTTTTTATGGGAATACACTTTTCTTCATATTAAATTAACAATACTCATCAGAAATTTTGAATAATCTGCAAAAGTGATAACTACACATCATATATTACACATACAGTAGTACATTCAATGTTTTTCATGATATGAAAACAAAATTTTTAAGACACGATGAAACTTTTAGAAACTAATTGTAAATGGCTCATAGAGTTCATGCGAAATGTTGTCGGTATTTTGTGAACAACAGCACTGATAAAAAGACACCAAAGTGAAGACCATTAGTGCTCAAATCCACAGCATTTCCCACAATCCTATCTTTATTTGCATCTATGACATCATCACCTTATCTGACAAGTACTAGCTGATTTGCTAATGGGATTATCTCTCCCATCAGACTTTTAATTACGGTAATGCTTCTGAGTTTTTATCACCAAATGTGCTATCTAGTGGGCAAAGGGAACCTAACACATTTCTGTTTAATGCATATAAGCAATGTCAATGACCCCAGTTTGTATTGTGTAGAGATACGGGTAGAACACACGAAAAGGAAAAAAACAAAATGGCCATCAGTCGTCCATTTTTCAATATACAGTAATCATGAAACAATCTGTCGTGCATCAGACACCCACCATGAATGATGCCGCAGCAATTCTGAATGAAATCAGCCCAGGTAAGCTTAAGAACAGTTTATAACATATTCAAATGTTAATTTTTTGGAGACGAAAATCAATACTAGCCATAGAAAGGTCCACAAAACAAATCACATACACACGTATAATATTATTTTTTTTTAAATCTGCCCAAATGTTAAAAAACATTGTCAGATGAAAAATGAACAAAACCTATAAAGTATATACTGTGGAATACTTTATTTTCGCTTGGAATTTATTTTCGCTATTTTCGCTGAAAGGATGATTCCGTGAAAATAAATTCCAGCGAATATACTTTTTTCCCTATATTTCACATTCAACTCGTCAAAAAATAGTGAAAATAAATTCCATATAAAACACCCAAAATGCCTTTTCAGCGAAAATTAATTCCAGCTAAAATAAAGTATTTCACAGTAAAGTACCCTTTTCAGATTACATCTCCGACAGGAACCAATAAGGCCAAATGTTATTGGTAAATAAAATTAAATATCAAATATTTTAAAATCAATGGCACAATGGATTAAAGACAGGTTTTTCTAAACTGTAATGTTATATAATGTATGATGATTCTTGCAAAAGCTCCTCTGATTGGGTAAATATCAGATAATTGTGAATCACCAATCAATCACAAAAGGTGTTTTATAGCACTGTAAGCATAATCTTTCCAATCAGCACATTTTTCAATTTAGTGTATTAAGAGAGATAAAAATGTTATCAGCTAGACTCCTTAGTTCTTTAATTAAGACCCAATTCATTACAGATTACTGATTAAAGAAATCTTAGGAAAAGATCAACTATTATTGTAAAAGGGGGGGGGGCCCAACCCTCAGGAGTATTGTACCTACTTTAAAATCCACAAGAGACAGATTTTGAAAGTTAAGATAATGAGGAAATGTGACGGGAAATATATTAGTCCCTTTTGGAATTAGGGAGAATGTCATTCATGCCAAAAATAATAAAAAATGGCTGCCAGTCAGCCATCTTGGATTGAATCGGTAAACCACTGCATGTGCATATGTCCCTGGTTAAAGTACAAGACATATGCAAAGAATTAGCAGATTTGCTCAACAGGGTCCTGAAGTATGACTCGGATGGACTGACGGACAGAGACCGAATTATAATTACTACGTTTGAACGGGGACTACCGGAGGGTAATAAGATATACTGAGGAAGGGAGTACAGACTTATTTGTAAAGGTACGTCAGTTTTGAGAGTTTATCCTATGCTAATACAGTGGCCATAGAACATGTTCACACACGAAAACTCCTGCACGTTCTCTTAGAGCACACCCATCTTCCTGAAACAGAAATGATGAAATTCAACAATACCCGGTAACAATAATTGTTTCCAGACAAGCATATGTAAAGTGAAACAACTTGAATTAAAGTTATTATAAACAACTTTTACCTTTAATTTTTCATGTATTCAATTTGCAATTTATCCTCCTGTAGCCAAAACACTCATTTTATTTAACCAATTATCATGAGAATACAGCATTATCTGGAGAGCTACACTAAGGTATCTTATTCCCATTCATTCCTGCAACACCAGTTTCACAAAGTAGACTCGAGAGATTAAATTGCATCTTTGCCAGATTTACATGCAAGTTTCCAGATCTATATTCAAGATGTGCACACATCCTTCCTTATCTAATCTAGCCTGAGAAACGGCATTTGAGGACTTATCCCAGGGTAATGTCGCCTTTTTATCTGTCGGATGCACCACAGCTTACAGTAATTGCAAAGGTTTGGGTCATTATCTGTGTATTTAGAAACGGCGGTAAGAGTATCTACAATATTGGTGAACAGAAAAGCTTTCGAATTTCACAATTACCGATACTATTACTCGTATCACTTATACTGATAATGGGATTATAATTGTTGCGTCATTAACCTTAGCTCGGTAGAGATATCGTATGAACGGCAATTACGGTACATCACGATTTCTTTCTTAGAGCAGTGATATTGAATCTTTGTCGTGATATATCAAGGCAATTAGCGGTATTTGTGTTGGTTAGGATCGAGGATATGTTATCAGGAACATAATAAATTTGTTCCCAATCGCCTTAAAATTTAATTCTAACTACATACATATATACGAAATTCGGTCGTTAGATCAATTATAGATTAAATAGTAATTTTCTAACCTACGAAAGGATACGAAAGATTCAATGATTATAGATAATTTGTTACAAGTTTGGAAAGCTTTTACTGTACCAACATTTCACATGGTTTTGTTGAAGTCAACCACCCACGGTCTACCCTACAAGCTGATGCATGATAGTGTTAGAAAAAGCCGTCTTTGACCTTTGACCCTAGTTAAAATAAATAATTTGATTGGGTGTGCAATTGGATTCATCAATTTCAAAATTAAACCAATAGATTTTGCTGTCTGATATCATGTTATTGCTTAAAGCGGGAGGGTTAAATCACCTACGCAGACGTTGGAATTGAGTTCCAAGCGACGATAACAACACACGCTTAAAATGCAAAGGCTCATGGGTAGACGCTTGTTTGTAAACAATCACACGCTATGACAGGTGACAACTCACCCGCTTTAATATAGAAATTTGTGTTTAATTTACATAGTAAGAATTCCGACAGGATACGGCGAGACGACGACTGAATAAATGAACCTTGGCTAGCGAAATTGGTATACCAAAGCGTTCAGCAAGTATGTAACATAACTAAGTTCCTTGTCATGTACAAGTACTGTAGTACTGTGAACTCATTTATCCTCACTTGGAATTTATTTTTGCTATTTTCGCTGAAGAGATGGATCAGTGAAAATAAAATCCAGTGAAAATACTTTTTTTTTAATATATTACAATCATCAAAAATCAGTAAAAACAATATTATCTACAGTACAGAACAGCAGAAATATTAAAACTACTACTATTTTACTGTCAAATAAAACAGTAATATTTTACTTGTATTATTTATTCAAGAAATAATTCATCAAGAACTGTCAACTGCATAATATAAACAAGCATAATATTAAAAGCATGACTGATCACTCCTGTTTTTATAATCATTGCTAATAGCTATTAAAAAAACTTCCCAATACACAAAAAAATTATAAAATTCTCAAAGTTTTGTGGGACTGTATAAAACACTCATATGAATATATTATCACATGAACTGTGTTAACCTTTAGTGTCCTAGATCTATATTCATGGTTTATAAAAAATTTTTTTGGTACATGTTTGTGCATATATATATATATTAGCTTGAAATTTGTTGGTGTAAGCAGCATAAAAGATTGGCGGTCGTCACGGTGTGTTATGTTTGCTATGAATCCCATGCGATGAAAAGCAGGCAAGATGAATTGTTTGTTTATGCAAAATTGAATCGTAAATTGTCTGACAATCGAACCACTCCTAATAGTGAGGTCTTTCGTAATTATTGATGTGTCTTGGGGGAATCATTAAAAGAAGATGATCTGTAGACATGAAATGAAAGACTTATTTCATAGAGTTGAATGGTTATAAAAGGAAACCTTTGCTAAGGGACTTATTCGATACATTCTTTTTTATTGCCCGCATGCATTATTTAGTTTACAATTCATATAAATCATTCATTTAAATGATATAAACGGCAGTTACGAAAGATATACCGATTGAACTGAAATCTAGTTCCAGAAACACTCCAAAAATATTGTAAACAGTGAATTTTTGCCACTAGCATTTTTTGGCAATTTCAATTCAAAAAAAAAATTTTGAAAGTTTTTACATGATATGAAATTTTACTAAAAACAAGCAGTCTCTCGATTGAAATAGCTTCACTGTCAGAAGACATCATTAGAAAATGAACAAATCTGAGAGCGGTCTACCCGAGCTACCTATGTATAGTATCAAAGCAAACGGACTTGCTGTTTTCAACATGAATTAGAAAATATCACTTTTTACCAAAAATTACAAAAATGTTCATCAAAATTAGATAATTGAAGATATCATCGGGAAATGAACAAATCTGAGAGAAGTACACATGTAGTACCCATATATATTATATCAAAGCAATTGGACTTGCGGTTTCCAACAAGAAGACAAAAAAGTTGACACGAACAACGTCAGATAACAACGGACAATTACTCATATGATAAGCTCGACAAAGTCAACAGCGAAGCTAAAAAATAAACTGTACTCAAACCATTCTTACATTTATAATGCTTCTCACAATTTCTCACAGCATGTGTATTTTCTATCCTTTATATTATCCGCCCTTGATTTCACCCACCATACATTTTGATAATTTATTCATTTTTTTTTAATGTTTAATGGCATTCTATGAAGACTAGTTTATTGATATAAATATTTGGCGACCATTAATATTTTCAACACCATAATTTTTCCCATAAACAAATGTTGTTTCTACATTTTCCACGATTTTTTTTTTCATGTTGGATCAGATAGACACAATTTCAACAACAAAATTTGAAAACTTAAAGTTACGTAATTTATTTTGAGAGACAAAAATGATGTTGGCACCTAAAAGTTTGAAACAGATCATTGGATTTACTTGATTGAACAAGTTGAGTCATTAAAATCAAGAAAAAAAACAGCTTTTCATAAAAAAGTAGGTTACACATTCATGGTAGGTTCTTGTATGATAAAACAATGATAACCAATGATAAACAATTGAACCACAAAATGTATTGTGGGTGGGTACAGGTTTTGCACCGAGCATGTGAACAATTCATTGTGGAAATTATTACCACAGGTGATGGAACCTCCCTGAATTATGTAAATTTGTTTTTTTAATTTAATTAATAAAATTTGGCTTTACGTCAATAACAACAATATTCAACTTTTCAGTCCACATCATATTGAGCATATACATGTAGCTTGAAATGAAGAAATACTGTCACCATAGAAACCAATAGATATGAATCAACATCTCACACATCTTAACATTTGATTTTTTCAATTTGATAAAATGGAATCCTATCCCCTGACCTAAATTATAGTTATTTCTTTATGACAATGACAAATCACTTTACATTTTAACGTTTTAATCGGTAT